ATAGAAAATCAAAATTCGATCCACAATATTTAATGATAAAGTACATTATTATTACTTATGTGGAAGTCAATGTTTAAAAGTAAGATTTATTTATTTGTTTTTTTTCTTTTTTGAATATGATATTTGTTTCAGGATTGATAAAATTGACGGACATTAAGACATACTCGTGCATTATTTCAAAAAATTCATTCTGCAGAGATTAATACTATAATTATTTTGAACATGTTAATTTCAAGTACAATTATTCGTTGTGTTATTATTGAGTTATAACTTGTAATTATAATTGTAGACATAAGATAAAATGGTATAATTTACCATATTGTAATTTTTTTGTTTGCGTAATATAATATGGCGATTAATTTTATTGTAGACTTATACCTACTAATCTTTTATGTTACCCTCTATCCCCGGGACCGTGAATTCAATAATTTCTTTAGTATAATGGATAAACTTCTCCAAAATCTTTCCCTCGAAAAACATACAAAATTTGGTGATTATATTTGAAGTTCAAATTCGTCCAATTTCTAATGAATAGAACAATGTGATTTTCTGTCACTGCTACTTATACTCTCCACAGAAAATATATTGTTAGACTGCGACGATATTCCAAAATGGATGATCTTTCCGATTTCAAGTCTATTTAAAGAAAAATAATGAATAATTGCATTAAAATAACTGTATTTTTGTGACGAGGCTCTAATATTCACGGGTATGTTTTCAATATAGTATTCTGTCAAAATGTTTAACCTACACACTGTTGTCTTAATTGCAACGAAATACAATAAACGTGTATACATATTGAAATAACACATATTACATGCTAATTCACTAGAAAATTACTCGTTTTTTTCTTCTTTATTATTTAGGGAATTTTAACCCTTTATATTATTTAATATTTTTAAATAAATACCAAAAACTTTTAGTATATAACATACTAAAAGTTTTAGAGTTGATTATAAAAGCGGAATTGTTTTTCCGCTTAAGTATATTACGTTGGTTATAATTTATTTATCAATTCCCATTAAATTAGAATTATATACGTGTAAATTCTTTGTGTGCATATTACAAAATCCATATTACGAGTTTAATTAAATATTTAAGAAACTTATTTATCTTGCTTATTTATTCTTTAGATGGTCCCCAGTCCTCCACAGCTCTAATCCGGGTCTGTTTACCAATACGGTACAAAAATCTATTGAAATGCATTGAGTACCTTTTAGAACATTGCTTCTAACATAATTTAATTATTTTATTACATTTTTAAAGCAACGGAAAAATTAACTTTTTATATTGGTATTTTTTGAAATGTTAATAAATTAATTTTTAGCCACACTTTAACAATCCGCACTGAATTAAACGGTGCATTTTGAAATACATTTTACTATTTTCCAATTTACCTCAACAATCTTCCAGTGGTTTTAATACCCTTGCCTAATAATCCCTTGCCTTATAATAATCTCCAATAGTATAGTTACATATTATTACCTCCAATCTTGTTATGCCATGCTCTCTTTTAATGTACAAAAATTAATGTTAGGTAAGTTAAGCATTGGTTTGATAAGAAAAAAAAAACAATGGCTACTTATTGCCTAATGTTACACGACCAAATTCATTTTCCGTTCAAACCTATGCTTAACTTACCGAACCAAAACGAAACTAAACTAAACTTACATTACATTTTGTACATTAAAAACTAAACCTATAACATCAAATGTGTATTTCTATTTTCTAACTTAACCTATGGTTTTTAATAAAAGAAACTAAAATGGTTATAATAATATGCAATGCGCATGCATATATTACTCCAAATATATTCCAACTGTTATCGAAGATGCCCGAAGGTTGTGCGACTGATTTTATATTTATAATATAAAAGGGAAATCATTTCTTACTGTAATTTAGTCGTGGACGGTAGTCGAAACAGTGAACATGAACTCTACAAAAATCTGCAGTTTGGGTAATCGAATAAAACCAACGAACAGGCAGTTTACAGAAATTGCTGGATACAAATACTCTTTCTCCTATAACAGATCTGTTTCGCGATAATAAAATGCTTATTAAAATGACCGATCTTGTATATTACAAAAACCTGACAGTATACTAGTAAAGAAAGTAATATGCGAAACATTTAATAGCTATTTACGAGTTAAATTTTCTAAATTCGTTTTGCGGAGTAAAATCAAAATTACCTTATCGTTTGGATACTACGAACAAAATGGCCAACGAAGTGTATAAGTTATTAAAAAGAAAGCTTTGGGAATTATAAATAAAAAAGATAAAAATCCTGTAGCTATTCCGTACATAGTGGAACTGGCAAATGTTGAATTGGACGATTTGTTAGACGAACTTCCAGAAATATTAGCACAGCTTAGAATCGACAATTACTATCTTATGGATTTCGACATTACGCAGGATTTTATAGGCGTATTTAACAAAACGAAAATGACTCGTTTTTTAACAGACAATCACAATATTTGTGACCGAGGAGAGTACGACGATGGCAGCAATATAATTGTAGATAATAACAAAACAATTGGTATAGACTATTTAACATGGCTAAATTCGAATGCCATTGTTAAAATGTATAACAAATTTGTATGCCAGATTAAAAGTCCTGGAGTCAACAAACAGATAGGAAACCAAATCATTGACTTTATCAAGAAGGAGATATTTTCTTCTAATCCAGCGAGAGAGTATGGCATAACACGATTGGAGGCGATAATATATAACTATACTTTTGGAGATTATTATAAGGCAAGGGATGTATTGAAACCACTGGAAGATTGTTTTAGTTTATAGAAAAATAGTAAAATGTATTTCCAAAATGCACTGTTTTAGTCGGTGTCGATTGCTAAAATGTGGACAAAATTGCCAGACAGTTTACAGAATAGCTGTTGCATCGTGTTTAATAATTTCTTGCAGTACGTATATTGGGGCAATTCGAATATGAAAAAGTTAACTGGAATACAAATTAAATATCGAGGACACTAGGTTGATCAAAACTAACAATGTTATTTCCCAGATTATAAGGAAAATATCTAACATAAACAATAAACTTTCTCCGTATATAATAAAAGAAATATACTCTCTCTCGTCTGTATACGTAACATCTGTGGAAAAACTAAAGTTAGAATTCGAAGAAATAAATATGAAAAAAAGAAATTTAGATAATTAGTCAAAGACAATTTCCATTAAAGAATACCATATGCATCTGTCAGAGAAAGAACACGAGTAAGAAATGGCTGAATTTGGATACAGATGGTTTTTACCGAATTTCTGCTTTTACTGTTAATAATAAAGGAAAATACCCATACGTTGGAGAATTTGCCGAAAAAGGTGAGACCAAATTGTATACATCCTAAAAGGCTCATTAAAAAATGTTTTTATAAATATTCACATCAGAGAAAAACATAAGGAAGAAGGATACGTTCTAATTCCGTTTAACGAAATGATATTAATAGTCCTCTCGACAGAAGAAACTATTATAACATTTAATACTAATAGAGTTACTACATTTAATGGCAATTAGTTCGCAAAGGTGGTAAATGTTTAATTTTTTTCAGAAGTATAACGAGATATAGATGAATTTCCTTTTAATCAATTTGATATACAACAAATCGCAGAAATAACCATGCAAAAAGTAAATGATTATGTTAAGGTTATACAGTGTCGGCGTTTGGATAAATACCGGACAAGTCGGAATTAGTCATAAGTGGATGAATAATTATATACTAATTAATTATACTAATTATAAGATAAAAATTAAGGTGGATTGAATTAAAACTACTCCTAGTAAAAATAAAGAAAAACGGGTTTTTTGTGTGTAATAATGTATAATATATGTATAAATATTTTGTATTGTTAAAAATAATAAATAAGTATTTACCTATATAAATTTTGTCTTTTTATTTAAAAAAAAAAACCCTTCCATTAAGATTATATAAATTTAGCATAATATTTAAAAGTAGTTGAAAGTGGGTAGCTGAAATTGTATTAAGGTTAATTTCAGATAATATCTGTTGCATAGTCAAAAAATGTTACCACCTACCTTCTCACTTGTTCTATATGATTATCAAATAATTATTCCTAAGTTTAATTTTGATCACTTATATACCCATTTCGTTCATTAAACGGGCTCAAATTTATACGTCTTCAATCAGAATTCTGCCATATTTTTCCCAAACTAAACTGAACATACATTAAATATTGCACAAGTTAATATTGAATGTCGTTTAAATTTAACGTTAGTTTCCATGTGTATTCCATATTTTCAAACCTTGTAAATGGACGGAAACTAATAATGTAACCACTCTTATTAATGACGAAACCCCCTTCTCATGCCACACAAAATATGTGATAATAACCTATAATTAGTGAATGTGTATTAATGACGAATCAAACCGATTAACATCATTAGGCAATTAATTTACCACTTGATCAACTTTAGATTCACCAAGCGCGGAATAACCCAAACGTTGTGCGTATGCAATAATAGTTTCCATGATATTTACAATAACAAATATCAGCTTTTGTACAACGGAAACTAATAAATATACGTAATATCCAAATATAAAGGGTCCAAAACAATTTGTTACGTTACTCTTCAATATCAAAATTAAGTATTCATAAAGATTTATTCAAATTTTATGAAGATGTTTATATTTCAACTGAGCAATTAAATCAGTTGTTTTTCCTCAGCTATAATATCTAATTATGTTGTCGTATTAAAGAAATAAAATTGTATAATTGCTAATTAACACACTTTTAATCCTTACTGTGAAAACGATAACCATTTGTAATCATTAAGACGATACACAGTATTATACGAATCTTAATAACTACAACTTTTTCTTTTCNTTTGTTCACTTTTTAAATTTTCAGAATAGCAAATTTGTTAAACATATAAAAATATGAATGTATCATATAATTATATCTGATTAACAGTTTCTTTATATTAGCCGTTTTAATATCTAGAGAAAGGTTTGAAAACCGAAACTAACTCGTTCTGCGAAAGCCAACCACAGTAGTAATACAAAGTAAAAAAAAACATTTAAATCATTAAAAAACTAATGAACGGATAAAGAAGTGTAATACATTGGAATTTCGGAATAAAATTTTTTACGAAAAGGCTATTAAAAGAATTTAAAAAATTAATACAAATTAAAAAAAAAAAAAATTTTTTTTTTCAGAGATTTAGAAATGAAAATAAAAATGTTATTTTCTTTACATTTGTATCCTCCTGACACAAAACCCGATTCAAAAACATATGTTAATAAAAAAATTAAATATTCACAGAATTATTAGCGTTCATAAAACCATACAAGACACTTCGTATATAATTAATTGCATATTAAAATACCTATATTATAATATAATAGATAATTTATGTAAAAAAAAACTAATGTTATTGATGGATGTGCTACTGTTATATTTAAAAGAAAATTTGGGAAGGGAATAGATACAAACGTTTTTTAATTTTAATTTGTACGTTATGATAGAACAATGCTTACGAAAAACGATTCAGAGTGAAGGTCGATTATAAATGTTATGAAAAGCAGTAATTTTGAACAAGAAATAATATTATACATTATATTAAAACAATGCTACATATAACTCATTTTTTGTTTCACATTGGTTATAAAAACTACTTGGAACATCAAAAAACGACTACTTACAAGAGAATATAGTTTTAAAATTTAACAAGGTTACTTATTGTTTTTTGATTTTAACAATATTTCCTGAACAAAACATAAATGTAAAAATTAAAAACAATGAAATAGGTAATGTTTAGGCAATTTCGCAGTTTTTTCGAAAATTTCTTTTCCGGTTTTTCCTAATTACTATGTAAGCCACCTGAAAATCAACACATCATCTCCCTAAATCACTAACTAACTACAAAATCCTTTCAGATAACATAATATCCTTGACACAACAAAACAAAATTTTTGATTGAACTAAAGTTAGATTCAGTCATTTAATGGAATTTTGGTAGGAGGGGAGTAGTGGTGCACTAATAACACGCCGCGACACTTTTACACCGTACGCTTACAAATAATTACTTTTTACTCTATTATTATAATTTACATTTTTATATTTTCTATTTTATTTCTATAGTAATATGCTTTTTACACCAAAAATACTACCAGCCTTAGAACAACCAGATTTTAGAGTATAATAATTGAAATGTTTATACGCGTAAAACTTACGTAACGTATGTGTCAATATTAGACCAAACACACAAAATACAATTTTTAAAAATAAACATTGCGTATTTCTTTCTACAAAATCGGAACACTTGTAGTTCATCAAAAACACATACATCATATAGCAAATATATTTTTCACTAAGATAAATAAACTATTATAATTTTATTGAAATGATTTATAAACTGTTTTAATTTTTTATATTTTTCATTTCAAGAATATTTAGTAAATATTTATTAAATATGGATGTCTACGGGAATTTCGTTTATTTAATATTTAAAAAATGATATTTTTCAATAATTATTTTTTTAATGAGAAAAAATTCAAACAAACGGAATCTCGTAACTTGCTACAGTATGGTATTCATTGAATCCGATACCCTGTTTAATCTAAACTAACGCCATATCCAATAACTACCTACCTAATTATTAAGAAGTTGCCTTTATGACTATATAAGTAAATTTCAAAATATTATAAGTAACTAGAATGACATCTCGAAATTGCTGTATTTTCGGGAACTGGAACTTTAACCTCCTCTGTATAATTCACACCAGTGCCGGTATGACGTGGGGGACGGTGGGGGGGCGTACCCAATTTTCTTTAACTATCAGGTATTTCTGTGTATTTTCTCGTTCAGTAAAATATAAAATTCTATAATTCATATAATAAGAATAAGTGAACCCCCCCAAAATCAAATAAAATAAAAAATTAACNTTTTTTAATGAGAAAAAATGCAAACAAACGGAATCTCGTAACTTACTGAAGTAGGGTATTGATTGAACCCGATACCCTTTTTAATCTAACCTAACGCCATATCCAATAACTACCTACCTAATTATTAAGAAGTTGATTTTATGACAATATAAGTAAATTTCAATATATTTTAGGTAACTAGAGTGACATCTCGAAATCGCTGGTGTGAAATCACACCAGTGCCGTTATGACGGTGGCGACGGGGGGGGGGCGTACCCAATTTTTTTTAATTTTCGGTTATTTCTGTGTATTTCTTCGTTCAGCAAAATATGATAACTCATATAATAAGAATAAGTGTCCCCCTAAATCGAATAAAATAAAAAATTAACGATATAATTATTTAGATTTTAACTATATTGTAATCGTGTTTTCAGAATTTTATTTTATTATTTTATTAAAGATATTATATAATTTATATATCAAAATTATCATTTCAACAATTTGTTTAAAATGATTTAAGAATAATTTGTTCAGAATATTATATAAATATATAATTTATTATGGTATTTTAGCAATAAAGTTCTCAAAATATGAATTTAATAATATCATTTCTTCAATGAAAAATTGATATTAATATAATATTGCCATTGCGGATAAGCTATTATGGTTTATTCCTGAAAAACATAAACCATGCATAAACGATAAAATATGGGTAACTGGTTAGTAATCACAGATTTTGCTCATTTACATATACGTGTCTCACCAAAATCGTCAGCGAATAGAAAATATTAAACTTATTTCTTTTAATCTAAAAAATAGCCATTCTCCGAAGTTTGAACATCACTATACTGTTCAATATACGTATTAACAAATTATTGATAAAATGAAAAGAATTTGTCAGCAAGTTGTCAATTTATTCATATATTTATTATAAAATTATTATATGTGACACAATGAATGAACTGTATAATAAAACTACTAAATATCTTAGTCGATAGATTATACCTTCTCTGTTTTGGTAAAATGTCTAATACGTCAAATATGAACTCATATTCAGACGAATAAAACTCAATTACGTCCGTTATAATTAAATTTTAATAAAAAAATGTATGTACTTGATCAAATAAAATAAAAAATTTCATATTTTTATCAAGTTGTTACACTGAAAAAATTCATATTATAGAATCAATATAACTTATGAGGCCGATTTCAAGCCTATAAATTATTTAACCAATAGTCATTTTTGACCGATATTTTATCGACCTATTAAGGCATTGAAGCTTTGTGCAATATCATTAAATTTCTATTGATTCAATAACCCAATTTTTTTAGACCAATGACTAATTACTGATTGAATAATTTTTTGTGCAACCGTTCATAAATGAATTAAATAAATATTCATGACATTTTAATTATAAATTTACCATGTCATTATCGTTCCCAAAATTATGTGTTCCCCTAAGCAGCATGGTTTTCTAGAGTTTTACTATAAAAATGTCTGTTGTACTTGTGTAATCTTCACATGATAGATAATATTTTGTCCCATTCGTCACTACACTGCCAATTTGCATTTGCCTGTCTTTATTCACCTCAGTTTATAACGAACACATCACAAGATCCTAATCCCAAAATTTAAGTTATATATATTAAACCTTTATTATTTATTCAGTTTTAAACTGGTCAGCTCTAATTACGTAATATTTTAAAATTTAATCCCTCATCAATAATTAAGTACTAATGATGAAATACTATTTACCAAAAATTAAACTAATTATTATAATTGACAGTTAGGAATTTTTAATATGTTTTAAATGATTCAAAGTTTGGTAACATAAATACATTTTTTTTTTAAAATCATTATTGGTTTTCATGATTCTATTAAGGGACATTGTATAACTATATTCTCCGTGTTCAAAAAAAAGTATATCATTCCCTAGAATTATGATTAGGAGTATGAAAAAAAATAACGATTTGAGAAATTAGGCCAGTCAATATTTCCGTGCAAAAGTTTTTTATAAAAGTATATTATGTTCTCATATACAATTCTCGAAGTAAGAAAAGTATTTTCATGGAATTAACTTAAATTCAAATACAAATACGCCTAAGTACAATTTAAAATAATATTGTTTGACTAGTAAGGCCAAATAATTATTGTTCGTCAAGACACATTGATCAAACGTTGCGCATTGTATTTTTAATCATAGGTCCAAAAGTGTTTTTTATTTGGGGGTGCTGATAACATTTTTTTGATCCTAAACACCTTTTTCATTTTATACCATTTTTCAAATGTATTATGCAATTATAGCAATTCTATGTTTCTTATGTTAGCAATAGAGATCAATCAAGCGTAAGACATGCTCATAATTATCTCAGAAATATGTACGTTTGTGTTTCTTTCCAAAATGTAATATTTTACAATTATAGAAGCAAGTACCCCTAAAATTGATCACTGTCATATTTCTTGGTTTTATAGTTTGGTTAATAAACAATCATCACTTTTGAATTTTACATCGGTTTATTTACTTTTAACCGATTTTACATTATAATTTACTAATTATTAATCATAAATCAACTACTTATATCAGTGAAGTGTCGATCGGTTTTACCGTTTTTGCTTATAAGTTGTAAAGAATTTCCTTACAAATAAAATTCAACTGCAAAGGTGGTGGAAAAAGTGATAACTTAAAAGAGCTTTACAGTTTGAATTGGTGAAGTCAGACATAAAGCAAAACAAACTTTTAACAAAGTTTACGAACTTCCGTTTCTTTACTCCTGGCACCAACGAGGTATGCGTCATAACTCCTAAGATTGGATCGAATGCATTATTAATCACAAATAAATTCAAATAGTTTGTGACTTAAGTGTTATTATTTTATGTTATGTATTTTTTTTCAAATTTTTTTATGACCTATAAATAATTGAGTAAACAATAAAAAGGTCAGTAGGTACTATTTAATGAGTGATAATTGTTAGGCATTACTGTAAACTATATTGCATTGACGTAATATATTTTTCAGTGATGTCATCGTCAGTTATACACATAAATCGTAACTATCATTTGATTATATTCAATATTCGATACTTCATTTCGTTTCCTGATCGTGTATATACAATTCATAACTCACTTTATCGCATATTAACTAGTAATCTATTGTTTACAAAATTAAAGTTATAAATTATAATATAATATAATATATATTCTTCTTTTTGAGCTTTCAAATATGAACACCTGGTTTTACCTAATGTTAATATATTCCATGTCAATAACATGTAAGTTACATTTATTGATTATAAGAATTATATTGTACGAAGATTATTGTATTAGTTTTAGGTTAGTTTTATGTTTTATGTTTGTATAGACAGATATCTAATAGGAATTTGATATTATAATATGATAATAATAGGAATTGTTGTGGAAACTTCTAAACCATATATAGAGTGCAGAAGTTGAAATGAAGTTAAGTTTTAAATGATTTAAGGGGTACTAAATATTGTTTTATTTTAAGTAAACTGGTTCAAATATGTTTGATTTTTACGAAGATAAACAAATAACTATCTATACGTTGTTTCATTAAAATATTTTAATTAATCTTAGATAAAATACAAGGATTTCCAGGGTAGTATGAATGATTGAATGTATTAGTGATGTAACATAAATCCGGACAATCCGATAATCCAAAAAATCCAGTTTTTGTACTCAAGAATTCGAGAATTTCGATTTTCGAATTGAAAATAAATAATTATGCGTATTCTTTGAATTATACAGAACATGTTTAAAGGAATCCAAAATAAGTGTTTTAAAATCCAAAATACTGACTAAAATTCTAGATTAATGTTTTTTGGCAAATTCGAATTTTCTCATCGCAACAAATAAAACAAGAACTCTCTTTTATAACCTACCATCATATTACACCCCACGTGATCGAAATTTTCAAAATAAATAGAACAATAAATTTGTAAAATAAATTCAACTAAATTCATTCCTTGAATTTTTATCTTGGATCTTTATATTTATATTATATTTTTCGTAAACATTTTGTATTAATTATATATTATTAAAACATATTATTTATGATTTCCTTTCTGAACCTAGCAAGGTATTGACTGGTAAATTAGTGTAACTATGATGTATTTTATCTGCTATCTGTTCAGAACTTTTCTTTAGCTCATCAGAAATTACCTCAAATAGTGACTATATGTTAGCAGTTAAAGCTTTAATATTGATTCGTAAAATCGGGACATTTAAAAATTTATGTAATCGAACGTAGCCTAGAATAATTTTACGTTACCAAATTTTTATCTCATTGTGCACAAATTAAATGATAGTGTGTATTCTACCATTTAACTTCCTGCCTATAACAGTAGCACAATCATCAGTAGTATAAGCCTGCGGGATTAACCAATAGTCTCAATGGTTATATAATTGAACATCGTTCAATCGAATAATCGGTTATATTTTTCCTATCGGTATATTCAGTATTAAGATACTGTTTACATACTGTCCATTTTTCTACAACATGTTGTAATAAATAGCTATTTGTAGTTTAATTAAAATGTATATAAGGAATAATAAGTAATAAGTATATTAATAATATTATTTATATTACTTAACATAATAATACCTATGTATAATATTTAAATAATAGATTAAAATTAATATAATGTTTTAACAGATAATGAGAAATTGTTTATTACTCTGCCTAAAAAAATTTGGCATTTTACATAGTGCCTAGGTATTTTATAAAATACCTAGGTCAAATGTAAAATAATATTAATAATTAGGTTATATTTATATTGTCTAAAATGAGTTGGCAATATGCATAATGCCTAGGTAGTTTGCAAAATACCTGAATTGTCTATATTGCCGGTGACATATATATATATATAATCGACAAAAAAATAATAATATATACTTTTTACCAAGATGACTTTATCAACAAAAATCATATCCCAAAATAAAAACATCCTTGTGTCAGCTTTCCTTTATGAGTCAAATTTTTGGAATTTCAATAGCTATAAACCTTCTTGGTACAATAAGGAACCAATTATCGAAAAGTTCCTGTGAAATCGGTCCAGTGATTTTTCAATCTTTAAAGGACATACAGACAGACATATATTTAGTTTTATTAAATTTCATCATCGCAATACTATTCTAACGAAATATCTAAATTTCTCACTAGAAAGTAATTCGCCCTCCCTTCTCCGTTTATAACCACTAAATTGAGATTTTGATACCGTGTTATTTCATCGATAATTATGATAAATCGATTTTTTTTTTAAATTAAATGACTATGGTGCATTACGAGTAACTATATCTTGCCAGCCTGGTTAGAAGTAGTGATTTTTTTGTTTATGTACTTTTATAATGGAATTTGAATGTTTAAATAATTATTTAATCTATTGAAAAACGTTTTTAATATAGGTAATTCATTCAATCCACATGTAAAATATGAAAATTTCGAAAACACGTCAATCAAAGATCTTACAGTAAAAGAGCTAACATCTGGAAACTACAGCGCACAGGAAACAGAATTAAGAGATAATAAAACCAATACACCAAAACCTTTTTTTGAAAAAACAAGATCAATATTGCCGCGTTTACCGGGCATAGCTAAAGAAATAGCCAATGCCGTCGTCTCAGACATATCCACAGACGTAACTCCGGATCTACCCAAAAACCTACCCATGACCTGGGGATTATTGAATTTTGTTATTACCAATGTGAAAAAAGTAAACGCATTTCTTTAGTTATACAATCAATAATATTGTAAATAATTTAACAATTTAACAATTCATTACACAGCAATTACAGAACCTGAAAGGTAATATTTTAGTTGGTGCACTAAAATTATTATTAATTATTATTAAGTCTTAATAACTATCAATTTTTTAATGTTTATTGTATATTTTACCGATAAATATTCAATAAGAACACACACGATTATGACAGGGAATACCGTGTACTAATCGAACAATCATGGTATTTAATTAAATATATTATGCAAACTGTTTACAATTATTTGGATTGAGTGGCCAAACAAAAAATGAAAATGGAAATAATGAAGGTTATGGTACACTGACTCTGTGTTTACCACGGAATAAGATAGTAAAAAGTTACACGGTTTGGTAATGCTATGGTGGAACCCGAGAGCCACAATAGGTGTTCATGGGACAGGTCCACAAATGTTTCCTTTGTTATCACACAAAATTGCAAATCAACTGATTTTAAAGCTGCTGATGATTGAATTTAGTGTCACATTTTTAGCCACAATACTAATGTTATTATTATACATTGCAGAGAAATATTATCATGCCTACTGATGGCGTTGAAATTATTGACCATTTTCATCACGAACCCCCACCCACACTTGTCTCATGTTTGCTAATGTGTTGCCGTCACAAACTAAAATAATATGAATTGGCAACTGTAGAAATTCCATTCGAGATATTGTTGCCGTCGATGTCGTTATTTTCTAGTTAAAATATCGAAACGCCCGCCACTATATACAACTCGACGCGCAACAGAATGGGGTCAGTTCGGCCTCTTTATATTATAATTACAATACAATACATAATGTTTATAATTATTCGGACCTAATGTAATTTATGAAATTAATATTTGAGCGTTGTAGGATAAAATGTTGGCGAAAAATTTAAAAAGGCTGTATTTGAAAACCTAACCTAACCTAACCTAACCGAACCTCACTCAGATAAATTTTTTTTTTGTTAATGTTCCCTTCCNATTTGTATTATTTTAAAACGTTTATTACAACTTATTCACAAATTTGAACAGCAATATTATTGCGTTGTTAAATTTAAAAATTAGTACTTGAAATATTTTTAATTCTCTTTCACGCACATGCTGTTTCAACATAATATATTATAAAATCATTTACTAACTGATAATTATTGTATATTCACTGTCCATATATATAAAGATTTTTAACATTACTATTTGTATTTTTAGTAAGTTGTTCATTCAAGCGAGGTGAGAACTACTATACAATCTATGTTAGGTTTGACAGTATACTGTTTGGGACACAACATTTTGAATTTAATGCTTTACGTGAAAGAATTAGGAGAAGGGATGTGCCTATCATTGAAGAGGATGAATCGAACAATAATTCAGACAATAATTCAAATGATGAATCAGACAATAAATCAGACGATGAATCAGACAATGAAGAGTATGTTTATAGAATATGTAACTTAAAATTATTCATAATATTAACGCATGTATTAGTATTGTTAGATTCTGAGCGTAGTGACGGAGCTATAATTTTACAACATTATTTATTTCTTTTCATATTTCGAGCGTAGAGAGGGATTTATTGATTTAACCAAGATCAAAATCACGGGACGACTATTTTTTTTCTTTTAAGATTTATGAAGAAGAAAATTTATTTAGAATTATGTCTTACCGAACAGCGCGGGAAATCGTCTAACGTTAAGCAATGGATAATCGTTGTAACGATAACGGTAACAGTTAGGTTAGGGTTTTTTACGCCATACAATAAAACAATAATGCATTTAATTTATTACTGATACAAATAAATTTATAGTACAATAATAACGATCAAATATATTATGTAATATCTACGACTTACAAAAACAGTAAACGAGTTACATGATAGATATCTTTTACCCAAACGGAAAACTCAAATGAAAATTAATTATTGGCACACATTGATATATCAAAAAATCTCTCTATCAATTAAAAAAAAAATCGTGCTCTATAATGCCCTTATAATCTAAGACTGTAGGGAAATCATATTTTTAAAAATTTAGTAATGGTTGTCCAGCACTACACTGAAATATGTGGTCACCAACCACTGTTAAACTTCAATTAATATGTTTTTATCATCTGATTATAAATGAATTAAGAAATAAATGTCTTATAACATTGACTTAATATAGACTGTAAATAAAAGTATAATGACTAATAGCATTATTGTTATTCTTATTATTATGTGTACTTAGATTAACTACAATCCCAGTATCACTGTTGGAGAAGAATGTAATCACAATAACTACCGAAGAAGAATTTATAAAACGTGCATCTGATACACACATTTTTCCTTACCACGTAAGATCATTCTCTCATGAGTATGAGAATAATAATAATGTGAATGAGTTACAAATACATTTTTTGACAGGTGATAATAACGGCGTCAATTAATGAACAAGAAAAATGGTGCCAAGGTGTGTTAATCAAATCAAACTGGATATTAACTTCTAAGACTTGCATCAAAAAGTAAATATTTTATTTAAAATAATAGTACTACAATGCAGATAATTGTATTTTATTTTGTATAATAATATTTATATGTCGACGATAAGCAGGTATTATTGCTTTATGAAAATGTGTATTTTTGTCTTTATCTTTGGGATTAGTAAAAATGCCACTATTTATACGGGGTATTTCTGAATACTTACTTTTAAATATGCAGAAATTCTATCCGATAATATCATATACGATATGTTTTTTAATTTATTTCATCTGTGAAAATTTATTGATATACTTAAATCAATAAATGTATTAGGTGTTTACTAAAAAAAAAGTTATAATTTCTATATTTTACCTTATGGCCTATTCACAATAATATGTGGACTACACATAGAGCGAAGTGTGTAAGTATAATGTGGATGCCGGCTTAAAGAATCATATTTTGTACAAATCATTTACAAAACATTAAGGGGTTTTACGGTACTGTTTTTTATGTTAATTTTCATTCGTATACAAATATATTTTAATTTTTATTTAGCCATTTCGATCTGAATTCCAAGAGACACACGAAAATATTTTTGGATGCAATAAATAATGCGGATTCTAACTTTATATTTTATTCTAATGTGATATTAAAATACTACGTAACAGTTGGTCCGACATTGGTGGAACCGGGTCCAGATGGTCTTGAAGATATGGTGTTATTGAAGGCAAGTATTAAGGAGTACATATTTATTTATTTGTTTAAGTTTAAATGAGCCAGGCCCAATTACATAAAACGTAATAACAATCGTTCGATAAAAATGATACTCGTAAGAAAAAATTGTAAAACAATAACATACAATATACAATCAATATAATACTAATACCTTTGTATTAAATAGTTTGAAAAACCATTAAATTTTTCATAATTCCGTTGGTGGAGGGGAGAATATTGCTTGTATAATTGGTTACTTCAGTTTCATTCAGTAATGTATTATTATATGAATAAATCATTAAATTTTTATTGGTTTTACATTTATTATTAAGTTTCGAAATAACAAAAAATGCCAAGGTCTATGGTGCTGTTTTGGGACCAGAGTCCGATGTAGCATTTCAGAACACAAATTTTACTCAAAAGATGAGAATATATGAGAAAAAGTCATTATCTGTTATTTATTAATATTAAGAGTAAAGTTATTGCTTGTACATAATTCATAAGGAGTATTTAAATAATATTGAATTAAATCAGCCTTTTGATGGTTTCACTTCCCTGATATTATAAAAAAATTAGTACTGACATAAATATGAAACATGACATTCTGTATAATCAATAACTATTTTTTGAGTAAAGCTTGCATTTAAAAAGAAAAGTTTCATGTCACATTATTTTGCTTTAAAAATTTTCCGTTTACGTTATTTTTTTAACACTGTTACACCTAATATTCTTATTAGCTGCTCATATTTTATTGATGTCTGGAACATGCATGCATTTTAGAAATAATCAATTATTATTTCGACCCAGGTAGTTAACCTATCAAAAAATTAAGAACATCAGACAAATTCGATTGCCAATTATTAACTTTATAAATAAAATCGGAGTCGGGAAATACCAAAGTATTTTTCTAAATGTACATTATGTACATCGAATGTAAACAAAAAACTTTATTATTTTAGAAACAATTAAATAATCTTTAATGAATTCGTAATAGTAAAATTAAAAAACTATATATAGAATGTGCCCCAGATAATTTTTACATAAAAATCATTTCTAACCCGTTGATAATTTCGAAATACATCTATGAGTTTGAAATAAATAACCTTTAATAATACAAGATGTAACTATGTTATAGATTGTTACCGTGCCCAAAAGCACAGAAGTTACCGCGGTAGATCTCAAATTATCAGAGAATGATATTGTGGAGGGCAATTGTTTCATTGTGACCCGTTGTTCGGTAAGCAAAACATGATCTAGCCTAGAATATAATGGCTAACACGTTATTTTTTTTTTTAACCGAAAAAAAAATAAATTTAAATCTGATTTTATTTCCGATCAACGATAATTATGTTATATACATTGCTGTGTTTTTTCAGGATGGCGTAGTGCGTGGTTTGTTATATAAACTGGAAGATCGGGAATTTGAAATAGACTTCGGGGTAATATTCTTAATTATGTAATTTATAAAAATTGTTTTCCTATTACAGGCTGTTCCATAAATCACCATCTGTTAATTACTATACCGTGCACCACTCTCGAATACTATATATGTCTTTTAAATTAAACAGTAAATAAAAATTTTTCGATATTCAAAACTTCCCTACATTATATGTGCATAGTCGTACCATGAATTAAATCGGCCGTGCAAGCAAAGTAACCGGGAGACAGAGCTCTTTCTGTAATGTAATAACATATTATAATCCTGAAATTTTTTAATTTTTTAAACGAAATATATTATTATATTTTAATACGATATTATGGTCTATTATGGTTTTCATTGTTTTTTGTATACGGTAATGTGTCCAACTTAATGTAATGTGATTTTAATTTCTTTAATGAATTATGCGGAATAAGATTTGATGTCAATATTGATAATAAATTAATTAGCTAATTGTTTGCTGCCATTAATTATAATGATATGTATATTACAATTAGTGTACCTATAATTCAATTCTATATTNACGATATTATGGTTTAGTATGGTTTTCATTGATTTTGTATACGGTAATGTGTCCAACTTAATGTAATGTGATTTTAATTTCTTTAATGAATTATGCGGAATAAGATTTAATGTCAACATTTATTATAAATTGATTAGCTAATAGTTTGCATGCATCATTTATAACGAAATGTATATTACATTTAGTGTACCTATAATTCAGACCAATATTGTTTTTGATTTGGACTAACGAAATGATAATGTTTTTATCTAGTTTTTGAAACCAGGGACTACAATTGTGTGTGATGACCAGTTGTTGAGCATCAAAACCAATGAAACTTCGTTCTACCCTATTTTCAACGCAAAAAAATGGATAGAAAATGGTATACAGGGTAAAGAAAATCAAAAGTCGATCCGTAGTATTAAATGATAAAGTATATTATTATAACTTATCCGTAAGTAACAGTTTAAAAGTAAGATTTATTTATTTAGTTTTTTTTATTCTTTTTTAAATATGATATTTGTTTCAGGACTACTAAAATTGACGGACTTTAAGACATACTCGTGCATTATTTCACGAAATTCATTCTCCAGAGAATAATACTATAATTATTTTGAACATGTTAATTTCAAGTTTAATTATTCGTTGTTTTATTATTGAGTTATAACTTGTAATTATTATTGTAGACATAAGATAAAATGGTATAATTTTCCATATTGTAATTTGGTTGTTTACGTAATCTAATATGGCGATTAAATTTACTGTAGACTTATAAATACTATTCTATTATGTTACCCTCTATCCTCGGGACCGTGAATTCATTAATTCCTTTAGTATAATGGATAAACTTCTCCAAAATCTTTCCCTCGNCAAGTTCAATTATAAGTTGTTTTATTATTGAGTTATAACTTGTAATTATTATTGTAGACATAAGATAAAATCGTATAATTTTCTATATTGTAATTTTGATGTTTACGTAATATAATATGGCGATTTAATTTACTGTAGAATTATAAATACTATTCTATTATGTTACCCTCTATCCCCGGGACCGTGAATTCAATTATTTTTTTAGTATAATGGATAAACTTCTTCAAAATCTCTCCCTCGAAAAACATATAAAATTTGGTGAGTATATTCGAAGTTCGTTTCCGTCAAGTTTCTAATGAATATAACAATCTGATTTCCTGTTACTGCTACTTATATTTTCCTCAGAAAATATACTGTTAGACTGCGACGATTTTCCAAAATGGATGATCTTTCCTGTTCCAAGTCTATTTAAAGAAAGATAATGATCATTTGCATTATAATAGCTGTGTTTTAGTGATGAGTCTCTAATATTCACAGGTATGTATTCAATATAGTATTCTGTCAAAATGTTTAACCTACACGCTGTTGTCTTGATTGCAACGAAATACGATAAACGCATATACATATTGAAATAACACATACTACATGCTANATCTTTCCTGTTCCAAGTCTATTTAAAGAAAGATAATCATCATTTGCATTATAATAGCTGTGTTTTAATGATGAGTCTCTAATATTCACAGGTATGTATTCAATATAGTATTGTGTCAAAATGTTTCACTTATGAATTTTTACCTTGATTGATACTTCATCAAATACGAAAAACGCGTATACATATTGAAATAATACATGCTTCATGCAAATTCACTTGAAAATTACACGTTTTTCCCTTCTTTATTATGAAGAAATTATAACACTTTATGTTATTTGATATTCTTAAACAAAAACCAAAAACTTTGAGTATATTATAATTTTAGAGTTGCTTAATATAGAGGAATTATTTTTTCTGCACAGACTATTACATTGGTTATAATTTTTATTCCAATTCCGATTTAATTAAAATTAAAAACGTGTACATTTTTTGTATGCATATTGAGAAAAATATTAAAATCTTTCACGAGTTTGTTGCCAATTATTTACATTTTAAAAGGTATATAATATTCTTTAGTTTTAGACATTTGAAAGATATAGCAAATATCAGCAGGCCAAAATTAAGGGAGATAGGAGAGGGGTTCCAAAAAAACCATATTATTAGTTGAATTAAATAATTGAGAAACTTTTTTATTTTGCTTATTTGTTCTTAATATGGTCCATCAGCTTTCTACAGCTCCTTATCCGGATCCGATTATCAGTACGTTACAAAACTCTATTTTAAAGCCTTGAGTATCTTTTTAAAATTGCATCTAACTAAATTGAATAATTTCATTACATTTTCAAAGCAATGGAAAAATTAACATTTTAAATTGGTGTTTTATTATATGGATTATTAAAAAGTTAGAAAATTATTTTTCGACATTTTCATAATGAATTGTTTATTTGACGAATTGTAAAGTACCGCATCATCAAATGGTATACTGAATTTCGTCTCACTAAACCGATTTAAAATTATTTTCGTTGCTTTTTTTTTTGCTGCATTGTTTGTTAAAATACCGATACGGTAAACACCTCTGTGGCGGTTTCTTGAATGTAAATTCTGAAGTTGCAATTTACAGTATAATAATACAATCATTAATACTAATGTTATATTGTAAACGGAAATATCGACTCACTTTAATACGATAATAGGCACACGAATAACGCCAGCTCACTTTAATGTCAGTTATATAGATCTCTGACAAATCGTAAAACGATGTACAAAACGAATTTCTAAAAAGAATTATTAAGAAGATGCGATACCGGCATTTATTGCAAAAAAGTGCAAAAAAAACATTATTTATTATGTAAAACTAAAAGAAGTCGGTTTTTGGGTTAGCACCGAAGTACGGTTTTGCTGTAAATCTTCAGATGTAACGCCCAGCTTGTTGTGGTCGTAAAGAAACTATGACGATAATTCAATATTTTAAAATAACCTAAATTTATTAAATTTATATTTTACGCAGCGTAGTCCTTTCGGTCACCGTTTATATTGGCCACCTCCAAGTCCGGATTTTGAATTTCTTACGTCAATCGTTTGTGCTACGTTTGTGCCTTCTGTGCCTGTAAATGTTACGTTTGTGCTAGCCTTCATTCCCTTGGTTTCAAGGGAGGGATGGTCAAAAATGATAATTAAATTAAGGCTTTTAAATAATTGTCTTATTGATAGCTTAGATTTTAGGAAATCGGCGAGGGGAAGTTTTTTTAAGTGATAATTTTTCGATTTTCTCAACAAATTATTGATCTCTTTAGTAACTTTAATTCTAATTTTAGAAATATTTTTTACACAAAAGTCATTTTGAAAATGTTAAAAATAAATTAATAAAAAGCTAATTTTTTAATTGATTGGGTGAAAATATAAATATCCCCACACCAATGTCTTCCTCAAAAAAAAAAACAAATTGAAAAGATTATAATGATTCCTAATACCTGATAATAGATAAATGGAACTATATACATATACATAAATCAATAATAGAATTGTGCTATATACTAATATATTAACAAATATGCTTAATAAATCGTTTTCTTTTTAATCAGAAAATGCATCTTTTGATGAATCTTATATTAAAATTCGGTGTATTAGTGTGCAACGTCTTTTCTCATTTACTGACTATATAGGTTTTAGCCTATGAGTAATAACCACATAAATTAATTTTATCTTTCTAGATTAACGGAAGAATTCGGTTAATAATAACCGGTCACTTAGATTTGTTTTTTGTAGACGTGGTGAAAATTTCAAAAAGTTTAATCTATTTTTGAGGTATGTATAGACATTTTAAATATGTGAGTTTTCGTACGTTTCATATATTCGGTAGGTATTTTGGTACTTAGGTACTCTAGTAATATTAAAAGACTTAAACAGAAATGCTTCAAAGTTTAACAGCAGGTTCATTAAGAGTCTTATTTTGTAATAAATAAAAAAAAAATTGAGTTTAACGTAGTATTTTTTATTTATAAGGGAATTTTAATATCAAATTTTGACGAAAATCGTTTGAGTAAAAAATTATATGAAACTAATATACCAAGAAACTAAGCTATTGCTTCGTCGGAGTATTTTAATCGTAAAATACCCGTCGATTTGCTGTGCAAACTTTTCTACCAGAAATCTTGTTCCGATATATCAAGTTTAAATTTGTTTTCAGAAAGGAAATATTATCTTCATCGTTATTTAGGAAGGTCATTTTTGGATTTTTCAAGCGGTTTTCATAATGTAAGGGAAAAACCGGGATAAAATGTCGGAGAAAAGGAAAATGTACGAAATTTTAGTATAAGTAAAAAAATAATTTAGCCTTTACTTTCTGTGTAAATCATTCTGGTAGAAGAACTTTTTCGCAATTTTGATTCAATTTAAAATGAAAAAAAAGGACATTTTTTTAAAGGAAATCTGACTCGGAACGTACAGTAGAAAGGTTTTTTTTTTTTTGAATTTCACAGGTGTATTCTCAAAAAATGTGAAAAACCGAAAAAAAAAAACGGAGGAAAAACGAGAAAATATTTGAAATTTTATTATATATGTATTAGTTTAAAAATATTTCGGCCCTCTTTTTTCCTGCGAAATATGATCGGTTCGAGCATGCGCATATATATTTTCATTCTCTCAAATCGAAATTAAGTAAATCCTCGTTTAATCAATATAGAACATAGAACATAGAACTTTAAATCAATAATTTCAAAGTTAAAATTATCATCAACAAATTGTTTGTAATCCAAAATTATATTTCTAATATCCGAAAAAAATAGTATATGATTTTACAATGATGTTTATTTTAATTTTTTTTTTTCTTTCCCGTGGACAATTTTTCTATTAGAGAACATGCTCCGATTTTTAATTATTTGAATTTTTCTAAAAGGAAATTAATGTGCACAAGTACTATCAAGATCAAATGTGAATTACCAAGAAAAACGGGGAAATGTATGAGATATATTTGTATAACATTAAGATTATTTTTTTGTGAGGAAAAATTTCGTCCAGTTATTTTGCTCAAACAAGCAAATCGTCAAAAAACAGACAAGACAAATTATATAGCGTAAACGAATAGCACGAACATTTTATTTTTGCGTATAAACAAAATTTTTCGTATCTAAACCCCAGTTGAGTAAACATTATATAGTTCAGTAGGTACTGTTTAAATAGTGATACCCAATAATTGTTGTTCGTTAAGACACATAGATCAAACGTTGCGCATTGTATTTTTAATCATAGGTCCGAAAGTGTTTTTTATTTGGGGGTGCTGATAACATTTTTTTGATCCTATACACCTTTTTCATTTTATACCATTTTTCAAATTTATTATGTAATTCTGGCAATTCTTTGTTTCTTATGTTAGCAATAGAGATCAATCAAGCGTAAGACATGCTCATAATTATCTCAGAAATATGAACGTTTGTGTTTCTTTCCAAAATGTAATATTTTACAATTAAAGAAGCGAG